AATGCCGACACACACAGCAGATGCAGCACCTCTGGTTCCAGGACATGTACAGGGTTGGGGGGTGTGGCAGCCCTGATCCTGGATTGGTACAGCAGGTCCAACTGAAGGGTGGCCCAGTAGCTTCATACTCACCAGGGCATCCACTATGGCCATGGTTGTTGGATAACTCAGTGGCGAAAGCTCCAGTGTCCACTGTAGAGCAGGCAACTGGGGTCTTCTGCAGCGCAGGCCACTTGGGACTGCAATGGCACCCAACCTGTGGCTGATAGAGGTAGCCCAGTGATAGCCTGGCCTCCATTTTCTAGTCATCTCCAGATGTCTCTGCTAAGACAGTCTCTCCAGCAATCCTTTCTGTGTGCATACTCCTTTTTTTATGCTCCACTCTGTTATAGTGGGTTCTTAATTGGACTCTTGAGCCTTCCAGGGCTAATTAATTTCCTTCATGGATAACTGTTTAATTGGTGGTGAAGGGCGGTATCTCCTATTTTACTGTTTTGTTGACATCACTCACCTTGTGCTCTTTCCTGGGTCTGCTGTGTGCTGAGTTGCTCTGGGACAGTGCTGGCCATTCACTTGTCCTTTTTCCTTCAGTGCTTGGTCCCAGGTAGTTGCACAGTTAGGGCTTAGGGCAAAATAAGGTAAAGGACTCTTAGAAAAGAGTCCTTTGTGAATCATGGGATGGACATGGCTCTAGCCATGGCAAAGTGGGCTCAGAGTTGGCCTGGTTCTGGTGAATTACAGCTGGGGAGAGTGTGACATAAGGGCCGTGTTAAGAATATACCAGGAACCCAGGGATTTCCCTGGTGGTGCAATGGTTAAAAATCCGCCTGTTGGCTTCCCTGGTGGCACAGTGGTTGGGAGTCCGCCTGCTGATCCAGGGGATGTTGGTTCGTGCCCCGGTCCGGGGGGATCTCACATGCCGCAGAGCAACTGGGCCCATGGGCCCTGGCTGCTGGGCCTGTGTGCCTGGAGCCTGTGCTCCGCGATGGGAGGGTCTGTGGTGATGGGAGGCCCGTGTACTGCAAAAAAAAATTCCACATGTTAATGCAGGGGACACAGGTTTCAGCTCTGGTCCAGGAAGATCCCTCATGCTACAAAGCAGCTAAGCCTGTGCGTCACAACTACTGAGTCTGCAGTCTAGAGCCCACGAGCCACAGTTACTGGGCCTGTGCACCACAACTACTGAAGCACATGTGCCTAGAGCCCATGCTCCGCAATAAGAGAAGCCACTGTAATGAGAAGCCTGCGCACTGCAACGAAGAGCAGCCCCCACTCACCGTAACTAGAGAAAAAGCCTGTGTGCAGCAATGAAGACCCAACGCAGCCAATCAGTGTATATATATATATATATATATATATATATAAAAGATCTTTAAAAAAAAAAAACAAAGACTATACCAGGAACCTGTCCTTGTTCGACGAGAATTTTGGTACCATTGCCAGTGTCCACACCACATTTCTACCTTTATGCCTCCACCTTTGACCCTTTGCCAACCTGTCAGTTCAACTACTTTGTCATTTCTACTGTGATTTCCAGCCAAGTGATAATCTCTACCTCTCTGGACTCCACATCTCACACATTTCTGTCACCACCCTTTCTCTATTATTCTGTAACCTTGCCTTTCATATGTTCTGCTGTGAGGTGTGTGAACATATGCTTAAATTGACCTCGAAAAGCACATAATCTGTTGTGATTGTGTTTTCACAGCCTTGATCACACCTTTCTACTGTGCTTCACATCAGCAGTAGAAAAGGTCCTGCAGGAAGCTGTGGTCAGAGAAACAATTACTAGACCCTGCTTCTCTTCCTTATGTCACACCCTATTTTTGTATCCTTCCCCTTTTGAGGTCTCTACCATTTTCATATTGTAAGGACCCAGGAATGCACAGCAGCTGCCGCTTAAACTGATTTCCAGCTCCCTAGTCTTGAAAAGTATCCCATTTGCTTGAAAAGATTCATTCTTAGATGAGATAGCTGCACATTTGTGGTGAGTTATCTCCCTCTCTATGGAGTCAACGTGTACTTCAAGAGTGTTTCTTTGCATTCAGGTTGCTGCTGTGGAGCAGAAGGTGAGGAGACACCCTGTGAAGAAACTGTTCCTGTAGGAGTGTCACAGGCTGGGTCTCCTAAGGCAGCTTCATTTTCCCAGAAGACACACCCCTGTGAGATGTGTGGTCCAGTCTTGAGAGACATTTTCCAGTTGGCCGAGCATCAGGGAACACAACACAGACATAAACTGTTGAGATGTGGGGCATGTGCAACAAAATTTTATATGCCTTTGAATAGCATCGTACACAGGGCTTCATTTTTCAGGAGCCACAGATTCCAAGTGTCACAGAAGCCTCTTACTTCTAGGAAGATCCCGGCCAGCGTGGGATATCTGCAGCAACAGACCACTCATCCTGTGGAGAAGCCAAGCAAAATCACCCAGTGTGGGTCAACTTCACAAGACAGGAAAAATCATCACACCTGGGGAGAATGCAAGAAAATCCTCAGCCCCAAACACACACTTGTTCAGGACTGGTGTGTCTATACTGAAAGACAGTGTTTTGTGTGCAGTGAATGTGGTAAAACATTCAGGTACAAATCCGCATTTGTTATGCACCTGAGAGTCCACACTAGAGAAAGGCTTCACGTGTTTAGCAGAAGTGACATATCCTTTAGACAAAGCTCAACCATCAGTCAACATCAAACAATTTATACTGGTTCAGGACAGGACAAGTGCAGCAAATGTGGGAAATCCTTAACTCACAAGTGTGTCCTCATTTACCCCCAGAGATTGAACAGTGGAGAAAACAGTTCTGTGTGCAGTGACTGTGCAAAGTCTTTTTCCCATAGCTCTGTGTTCATTCGACATAAGAGAGTATTTTCTGGAGAAAGGTTTTATAAGTGTAGTGACTGTGTGAAATCTTTTACCTGTAGGTCTGCCCTCATTTATCATCAGAGATCTCACACAGGAGAAAGGCCTTATGAGTGCAGTGAATGTGGGAAGTCCTTTACCACTAACCGCACCCTCCGTTCTCATCAGAGATCTCACACGGGAGAAAGGCCTTATAAATGCAGTGAATGTGGAAAGTCTTATACCTCTACCAATGCTTTCCAATATCATCAGAGAGTTCATTCTGGAGAAAGGCCTTATGAGTGCAGTGAATGTGGGAAATCTTTTATGTCTAGGTCTGCATTCATTTCTCATCATAGATATCACACAGGAGAAAGGCCTTATGAGTGCAGTGAATGTGAGAAATCTTTTGTCTCTAGGGCTGCCCTCAGATATCATCAGAAATCTCACACAGGAGAAAGACCTTATGAGTGCACCGAATGTGGGAAATCTTTTACCACTAACTCTAACTTCCTTTATCATCTAAGAGTTCACGCTGGAGAAAGGCCTTATGAGTGCAGTGAATGTGGGAAATCTTTTACCAGTAGCTCTAACCTCCATTATCATCAAAGCACTCACACTGGAGAAAGGCCTTATGAGTGCAGTGAATGTGGGAAAACTTTTATTACTCCTGCTATTCTTCGTTACCATCAGAAAATTCATTCTAGTGAATGGCCTTATACGTGCAGTGAATGTGGGAAATCTTTTACCTCTAAATCCAACTTCTGTTATCATCTGGGGGTTCATTCTGGAGAAAGGCCTTGTATAAGGTGCAGCGAATGCGGGAAATCCTTTACCAGTAGCAGTGCCCTCCGTTATCATCAGAGAATTCATTCTGGAGAGAGGCCTCATGAGTGCAGTGACTGTGGGAAATGTTTTATGTCTGAGTCTGCCCTCAGATATCATCAGAGATTACACACAGGAGAGAGGCCTTATAAGTGCAGTAAATGTGGGAAGGCTTTTAAAACTAGCTCCAACCTCCGTTTTCATCAGAGAGTTCACAGAGGAGAAAGGCCTTATGAGTGCAGTGAATGTGGGAAATCCTTTACTTCTATCTATTATCTGTGTTATCATTATAGATTTCATTCTGGAGAAAAGCCTTATAAGTGTAGCAAATGTGGGAAATCCTTTATCCTTAGGAATAGCTTCATTCAACACCAGAGAGTTCACACAGGAGAAAGTCTTTATGGATGTAGTGAGTGTGGGAAATCTTTTCAGAGTAAGTGTAGGCTTATTGAACACCAGAGAATTCACACAGGAGAAAGGCCTTACAAATGTACTGAATGTGGGAAATCTTTTATTACTAATTACCTCTTCCGTGTTCATCAGAGAAATCACACTGGAGAGAAGCCTTATGAGTGCAGTGAATGTGGGAAATCTTATACCGCTAGCTCCACCCTCCGTTATCATCGTAGAGTTCATACTGGAGAAAAGCCTTACAAATGCACCAAATGTGGGAAATCTTTTACCGCTAATAACCACCTCCGTGTACATCTGAGAAATCACACTGGAGAGAAGCCTTATGAGTGCAGTGAATGTGGGAAATCCTTTACTAGCAACTCTAGCCTTCATTATCATCAGAGTACTCACAGTGGAAAGAAGCCTTATGAGTGCAGTGAATGTGGGAAATCCTTTACCAGCAGCTCTAGCCTTCGTTATCATCAGAGTGCTCACACTGGAGAAAGGCCTTATGAGTGCAGTGATTGTGGGAAATCATTTGTCCAAAGAAATCTCCTCATTATACACCAGAGAGCTCACACTGGAGAAAGACCTTATAAGTGCACTGAATGTGGTAAATCTTTTACTCATAGCTCCACCCTCAATTATCATCAGAGAGTTCACAGTGGAGAAAGGCCTTTTAAGTGCAGTGAATGTGGGAAATCTTTTATTAACATTTCCAAACTGCGTTGTCATGAGAGAGGTCACACTGGAGAAAGGCCTTAAGAGTGCCCTAAATGTGGGAAATCTTTTATGAGCAAATCCTTCTGAGGATTGGAGAGTTTACACAAGAGAAAGGCATAGACGTACAGGGAATGTGCAATTTCCTTGTTCAGTATAGAGGCACTGGAGAAAACTGAGGGGCCATTGGTCTGAATTGAATCTCACCTCAAGTGCTTCTGAGGGCATGAATTTTTTTCCCTTACTCAAATTAGAGATTATATATTGAGGCACTCTTGGAGGGCGTGTATTCCCCCAAGTCTACAGAGAACTATATTTCCCAATGTCCACAATTCTTTGAGCTAATGTTGCTATTTGTAAGGCCATTGGGTCCAGGGGAAACCATAATTGGTACAGAAACTCTGGTTTAATAGGGAGTGGAGGACATTGCAGCCAGCTAGATGGAATGTGCCTCTTCTAAAAGTGTATCCAGATTCTGTGACATTGACTGTGCAGGATCAGTTTATACACTGATTCTAGTGAATTTCACTTCAATACCCTTACTGCAGAGGCAGGAAAGAAAGAGAAAAGGGGATGTCGCTCTTGTGATCTAGGCAGCATGACTGTTGACTCAGGTAGAAATGTACTTCATTGCTCTTCATATTTGCTACCACTGAGGGAAGACTGATTCCCAGAGGGCACAAGGAGAGCATTGGTGGATTCAGTATATGGTTGCCAAACCTATTTTCCAAAAGGAGTGAGACATACAAATTTTTTCATCTTGAGACAATCTTTAAATCTATATTAAAGTATAATTTACATGTACTAAACTGCATATGTTTGAAGTATTACAAGTTAATAAGTTTTCACCTAGGTATGAACCTCGAAACCATCACCAGAGTTCTGATACTGCCCATATTTACCTCATGTCCTATTATTATCTCTCCTTGCCCTTCCCACCTCTCCAGGTAATCACTAATGTACTTTTCCTTAGAATAGATACCTTTGCATTTTTTTGAATTTATCTGATTGGAATCATAAACTGTTTACTGGGTTTTTCTTCTGAGTTCCTTTGTTTCATATTTGAGATTCATCAGCGATATAAACGAATAGCTCATCTCTTTATTTTTTGATGAGTAGCATTCTTATCTGGATGTACCACTGTTAGTTTACCCATTCATCTTTTTATGGGCTTTTAGGTTATTTCTAGGTTTTCACTTTTGAAAATAAAGCTGGTACAAACATTTGCATCAGTTCTTTATGTGCATTATGTTTCTTTTATCTTTTATCGATAACTCAGTGCAGTGTTTGAATCACTGGGTAGATGAACGTGTAACTCCTGATGAAACTAAGAAACTGGTCTAAAACGACTTCCCATTTTCATTCCCATCAAAACTGTAGGAGAGTTCCAGTTTCTCAACATCCATGCCAATCGTTAATGTCAGCCCTTAACGTTAATGTCAGTGAGTAGTGCTATCTCAGCGAGTTTTTAATTGGTTTTAATTGCATTACCCTAGAGATTTGTGGGTTTTTTTTTTTTTTTTTTTTTTTTTTTTGCGGTACACGAGTCTCTCACTGTTGTGGACTCTCCCATTGCAGAGCACAGGCTCTGGATGTGCAGGCCCAGCAGCCATGGCTCAAGGGCCCAGCTGCTCCGCAGCATGTGGAATCTTCCCAGACTGGGACATGAACCCGTGTCCCCTGCATCGGCAGGCGGACTCTCAACCACTGTGCCACCAGGGAAGCCCGAGATTTGTGATTTTGAGCATTTTTTAATGCTGTATATCTTATTATTTATTTATTTATTTATTTTTGCCTGCATGGGTCTTAGTTGCTGTGTGCAGGCTTTCACTAGGTGTGGTGAGCAGGGGCTACTCTTCGTTGTGGTATGCGGGTGTTTCATTGCAGTGGCTTCTCTTGTTGCGGAGCTTGGGTTCTAGGCTCGTGGGCTTCAGTAGTTGTGGCTCACAGGCTTTAGAGCGCAGGCTCAGTAGTTATGGCACACGGGCTTACCTGCTCCATGGCACGTGGGATCTAACCAGACCACGGATCGAACCGGTGTCCCCTGCATTGACAGGTGGATTCTTAACCACGGTGCCACCAGAGAAGTCCCTGTATGTCTTTTGTACAATTCCTGATCATATCATTTGCCTAATTTTTAAAAATTAATTATCCCTGTTTCCATCACTTTAGTCCAGGCATTGTGTAAAACAATAAATCTAGCCCTGCTTTGTAGCTTTTGCCAATTTCCAAGGTATAAATTCTCCCACTATGAAAGTGGGATGTGCTCAGAGAAGGAGCTGAAAAATTCTACTTGGGTCCCCTGGGTGTTTGGTGGAAAACTAAACTTAGCATCCGATTCATTATAAGGGGTTTTCACTCTCTGAACACTGTTCAAAGTTCTTTTCATGTTTCCCTTTCTGTAATTATTGACTGATGGTCTCCAATAGGTATTTACACTTCATGGAGTTCACCACCACTTGGGGCTGCTTTTCCAGACATCCCAATTGGTTGGTGGGGTCACTGTGGGTCTCTCCATCCCTGGTGAGGCTTCTCAGAAGGACTCGTGCCCAGGAACACCAGGTGGAAGGTCCTGCTGGTGACCATGGGGGAAGGTTCCCAAGGGAACCTGGTGAGGCCTTTTACTCAGGCTCACATGCTCCATGTCACCAGCCATGTTTGATCTGAGGTGACATTTCAGGACAGCGGGGAAGGGGTGAGCCATGTACAGCACAGAGTGGGGGTGGCAGGAGGGTAGTGGTGGCCTGAGGACCCAGGAGACACCTAAAGGTGTTGGCATCTTCCAAGGAGATTTAGGGAGGACCCTAAAGTTTCCATTGCTCACCCCTAAGTCGATGCCCTGCCCAGCGTTCTGGATCTCTCTTGCCATTGGAGGTCCCTGAGCAATGCAGGACAGTGCAGGCAGGATGCAGGCTTGTTGATCTGCTGGCAACTCCCCACCTTCTGCTCCACCTGCCTGGTGTAAAGGCCAGGGATTTCCTCAATGAAGTGGAAAAATCAAGACTCAACCTCTGAGGCAAGAATCAGAGATTAAGTCTTTTTTAAAAAAAATAAATTTATTTATTTATTTTTGGCTGCATTGGGTCTTCATTGCTTTGTGCGGGCTTTCTCTAGTTGTGGTGAGTGGGGGCTAATCTTGGTTGCGGTGCATGGGCTTCTCATTGCGGTGACTTCTCTTATGGAGCACAGGTTCTAGGTGCGAAGGCTTCAGTAGTTGGGGCACACGGGCTCTAGAGTGCAGGCTCAGTAGTTGTGGTGCACGGGCTTAGTTCGCCGCGGCATGTGGGATCTTCCCAGACAACGGCTCGAACCTGTCCCCTGCGTTGCCAGGCAGGTTCTTAACCACTGCACCACCAGGGAAGCCCAGAGATTAAGTCTTTGGAGCAAAGTAGAGACTCAATCTCAGTAGCAATTAGGTTGTCCAAGATACTTTGTTAAGGAAGAAATTAATGTCAGATAAGGAAGCCAGGAACCTTAGTACTAAGCAGGATAAAAGCCAAGAAAAGACATGTAGACATAATTTTGAAATTACAGGAAATCAAAGATTTTAAAAATCCTGAAAGAAGCCAGAGGGGGAAAATACTCAATTGAAGAATGAAGTTAAGAATTATATCCAATATCTCCTCAGAAACCATGCAAGCAAGGAGAGGTGTGAAATATTTAACGTGCTGAGATGAAAAATAAGTCAACCTTGAATTCTGTACCATCAAAATTATCCTTCAATAATGCAGGGAAACCAAAGCCTTTCAAAGACAAAAACTGAGAGAATTTGTTCCCAGTAAACGTACTGTCTTAGTCCATTTGGGATACTATAACAAAAAACCACAGACTTGTTAGTTTTTTTGTTTGTTTTGTGTTTTTGCGGTACGCAGGCCTTTCACTGCTGTGGCCTCTCCCGTCGTGGAGCACAGGCTCCGGACGCGCAGGCTCAGCAGCCATGGCTCACGGGCCCAGCTGCTCCGCGGCATGTGGGATCTTCCTGGACTGGGGCACGAACCCATGTCCCCTGCATCGGCAGGTGGACTCTCAACCACTGTGCCACCAGGGAAGCCCGACTTGTTAGTTTATAAAAAAAAAATAAACATTTTTTTTCTCATAGGTTTGGTGGCTGTGGAGTACAGGTTCCAGCATGGTCGAGTTCTCTGGTGGGAACCCTCTTCCTGGTTCATAGCAGGTGGTTTATTGCTGTGTCCTCATGTGATAGAAGGAGCTAGGGGCCTCTCTGGAGCGTCTTTTATAAAGGGACTAATTCCACCCATGAGGGCTCTATCACCTTATGACTGAAGCATCTCTCAAAGTCCCCACCTCCTAATACTAGCATCTTTGTGGGTTATTCTTTCAACAGAGATTTTTGAGGGACAACACAAACATTCAGACCATAGCACCTGCCTTGCAAGAAATGTTTAAAAAACTTTAGAGATGACAAAAATGTTATAGGTCAAAAAGTCCAATCTACATAAAGAAGAGCAGTGAAGAAGTAATAAATGAAGGAAAAATAAAAAAACTATTATTTTTCTTGTTCTTAATTGATCTAACATAACAATTTGAAGTAGTAATACCAACAACATATTCTATTATGTATGCTTATCTGTATGCATGTCTTGTGTGTGTGTGTGTGTGTGTGTGTGTGTGTGTATGCTTATGCTTTTATATAAGTGAAGTGAATGACATCAATACTACAAGGGATTAGAGGGAAGAATTGGGATTATTTTATTATTACGAGGTACACTACGTGAAGTGGAAAAAGCGTTACTTGAAAGTGGACTTGGATTAGTTGTCGATATTTACTGCAAACTCTATAGGAACAGCTAAAAATATAACTGATACGCTAACAAGATAAAATGGAATCATAAAACACTCAGTGAAAACCACATAAAGCAGGTAAAGTGTGAGACAAAAATTCAAACAAAGAGCAAGGGCAACAAACACAAATTAGTAACATGTGGTATATATTAATCCAACTCTATTAGTAATCACTTTGAACAGCAGCAGACCAATTACAAGAGATTTTCAGAGTAGGTAGAAAACCAAGATCCTACTATATGTTGTCTATAGAAACTGTCTTAAGCTTCTAAGTTTGTAATAATTTGTTGCAAGGGCAATAGAAAATGAATAGGGGGGGAATTCCTGGTCAGGGTTAGGACTGGTCCAGTGGTTAGGACTCTGCACTTCCACTGCTGGGGGCCCGGGTTCAATTCCTGGTCAGGGAACTAAGATCCGCAAGCCCATGGCATGGCCAAAAAAAAAAAAAAAAAAAATGAATAGGGGGCAGAAATGCAAAGAAATGAGGTAATTGAGAAAGTCAAAGTTAGCGAACTAAGTCAGAGAGTGCTCACTTTGAAGGTTCTGACTGTGTGACATGGTGGGGTCATGTCAGTGTGGTAAATAAAATGCTTTATTTACTGTGGCTTCATTGCTTAACAGTGTCCATCAGCTATTTGTCATCAGACAAAAGAATAATGACATATTAATGTTTCATCATAAAATTATTCATTTATGACTGGGTTAGAAATGACCTTATGACTACTGGGGGCAAAAGTTAGTTGGTTAGCTACTTAGATAACTGGAAATCATTCAAGTCTCTGTCATTTACTGAAACATACCCTTGACGCTATTGTAAAGATTCTGTGAATTGAAGTATGGGAAGGACAGTCTCATTACAGATTATTGCATGAACTTAACCGCAATAAATATTTACAGAGTGTAGTTAATTTTAGAAATATGCAATCATACTCCCAGTATAGTATGAGGGATTGGAATTAAGCTTTTAAATCCCACCATTGGCATAGAGACAGCTATAGATCAATGGAACAGAATATAGAGCCCAGAAATAAACATGCATATATGGTGTATTTGCTTACACCAAAGGTGTCAAGAATACACAGTGAGGACTGGATTGTCTATTCAGTAAATGGCGTTGGGGAACAGAGAGATGCAAAAGAGCAAAACTAACCCTATCTTACACCATACACAAAAATCAACTCAAAATGGATGAAAGATTTGAACACATCACCTGGAACTATAAAACTTCTAGAAGAAAACAGGGTGAAAGCTCCTTGTCACTTGCCTTGGCATTGATTTTTTGGGGTTTGACACAAAAAGCAAAGATAATAAAAGCAAAAATAAACAAGTGGGAGTACATCAATCGAAAAAGCTTCTGCATAGCAAAGGAAACCATCAACAAAATGAAATGGGAATATACAGAATGGCAGGAAATATTTGAAAATCATACAGCTGATAAGGGGTTAATATCTAAAATATATAAAGAACTCATACAACTTAATAGCAAAGTAAATAATTTGAAAATGAGCAATGGAACTGTATAGACATATTTTCCAAAGAATACATAAAAATGGGCAACAAGTACAGGGAAATTTGTTCAACATTACTAAATATGCAAAGCAAGGCCATAATGAAATATCACCTCACACGTTAGAATGGCAGTCATCAAAAAACAAGGGATAACAGTGTTAGGATGTTGAGAAATGTGAACCCTTGTCCACCGATTCTGGGAATGTAAATTAGTGCAACTACTGTGGAAAAGAGTAGAGAGTTTCCTCAAAAAATTAGAAATAGAACTACCCTACTATCCAGCAATTCCACATATGGGTATAATTCTAAAGGAAATGAAAACAGGATATTGAAATGATATGTGCTCTCCCATGTTCATTACAGCATTTTTCACAATTCCCAAGATACGGAGACAACCTAAGTGTCCATCAGTGGACGAATGGATAAAGAAGATGTGATATATAGAGAGAGCCCATATATATATATGAATACTACCTAGCCATGAGAAAGAAGGAGCTCTTGCCATTTGTGACAACATCAATGGACCTTTAATGCATTGTGCTACATGAAATAAGTGAAACAGAAAAAAAGTACTGTATAGTATCACTTTTATGTAGAACCTTAAAAAGTCAAACTCACAGAAATAGAGATTATAAATGTTACTGGGGTTAAGGGGGGCAGTGGAAGAAATACGGAGAGGTTGGTGAAAGGGAACAAACTTTCAGGTATAAAATGAATAGCGTCTGAGTATCTAATGTAAAACACGATGAGTATAGTGGATAACACTATTTTATAATTGATATATGCGGAGAGAGTATTACTTAAATGTTTTCTCTCTCACACACACACAAGATGAATATATGAGGTGATGATGTCTTAATTAAATAGATGGGGGGGTGGTTTCAATGTATACATATGCCATATCAGCACGATGTACACATTGGTATCTTATAGTTTTATATTATAACTCAGTAAATCTGATTAAAAAATAAAATAACAAAATGAAACCATAAATAAGTCAACCAGCCAGACATGTCTTTTTTTTCTTTCTTTTTAATCTTTTAGCTGTGCAGCATGTTCCCAGTTGCCAGACCAGGGATTGAACCCTCACCCCCTGCACTGGAAGTGCTGAGTCTTAACCACTAGACCGCCAGGGAAGTCCCCAGACATGTCTTTCTTGATCAAACTAACAAATATCACATCTATTTGACACTTCCTACTTTTAAATTATCTGATAGATTTGTGGGAAGACTCTGATTTGTAGAAAGGGAGTTATATGAACTATTCACTGAAATGAGGAATCCAAACTTATTCCAAATCTTTCAGAGATTTGTATTCCCCAGCTCATTTTATGGTACTAGCATAGCATTCTCATAAAACTTATTAAATTTAGCTGCACTTCCAGAATATAGAACAAGTTAAAAGCATCTCAGTAATTCAAGAATGGTTTAGAATTAGAAAATACATTAATAGCATTCAATATACTAATGAATTATAAAAACGTTTATCTTAATAAATGCAGAAAAAAATAGATCTATTCACATTAGAAAACAACACCACAACTATGCAGAAAAAAATATATATTAATTAGTCAAAATGTATCAAAGAAAACACTACAATAAACCAGCACTTTAATAATAAAATCAGAGATTTTGGTTTAAAATTAGCAAGCAAACAAGGCTCTCATTATTAGTGCTTATAGTAAATATACTGGACATTCTAGCTGGTGCTATGACACAGACAATAAAGAATTAAAATAACTGGAAAACGATTTACAGACCTTTAATTTATATCAAAATGTACGATTATCTACATAGAAGAATTTCAAAAAATTACGTCATGAATATCTGGCATATTTACACTTCCTCAAGTTTGCCATATTTAAGATTAGTATCCGGAAATAAATTACAATTCTACAAATGAGAATCATAACGGCATGAAGGAAATTTTTTAAAATGTTTGCCTTATAACCAAGAAAAATTTACAAATAGGATAAAATGAACAAAATGTTTCGTTACAGAATTTGCACTGCTGCCCTGCCATTCTGGGAAAGATTTGTCATCCTAATTCATGGCCTGGATGCCTAATGGCGAACAGCTACAGAACGCATCCCTACCATCCTTACGTTTGGCTCCTTTTAAAAGGGTCGAGTCACTGCTCTGGCCGTGGACAGGGAGGAGTCATTTCCTGGCGCCCTTTGAGGTGGACCCTGGCCTTTTTTCCTGGAAACTGGGAACTGCAGGATCCAGAGTGCCCTGCGTTAAAGGCTGCGTCGCTGAGCCAGTGAAGGCGCAGAAAAAGGGATTTCCGTTTGGGCACAACTCGTAGGGGACGGGACTTCTGGTCTCCTCCCCAAGGCGGCCATTTTTCTTCTTTTTTTTTTTGTGTGTGGTACGCTGGCCTCTCAGTCTTGTGGCCTCTCCCGTTGCGGAGCACAGGCTCCGGACGCGCAGGCTCCGCGGCCATGGCACACGGGCCCAGCCACTCCGTGGCATGTGGGATCTTCCCGGACCGGGGCACGAACCCGTCTCCCCTGCATCGGCAGGCGGACTCTCAACCACTGCGCCACCAGGGAAGCCCCCAAGGGGGCCATTTTAACTGCTCTGGTTCTGTTCAGCTCCGGAGCGCTGTGTCAGGACAGGAGTGACTGGAACGGGAGGTCCGGGAGGAGGCGCTGTCCCCGAGGCACAGAGGCGGATCTGAAGCTCGGCGACGCCGCCTGGGGTGCCCGGCGCCAGGCCCGGGAGACGGACCGCCATGCCCGCGTCCCCCAGACTCTTCTGCCGCTCCCGGCCCCGCTCCGCCCAGAGTCCGATGGCGGCGGCGTTGAGGGACCCGCCTCAGGTAAACGCTCGTTCCCCGGGCCCTCACACCCCTCACTCCACCAGACACTAAAGCCCCGAGTGCGGGGCGCCTGCTCACATGCCCGCAGCCCAGGCCACGGTGCCCAGGACAGTGAAACGGTCGTGGGTGGGGCTCTGTTTATGACAGCGTGATGGCGCGTGGGAGAGGTCACTGGCAGAGGTACCCGCAGATGCGAAGGCTTGGAAATCGGCCTGAGGCGGGAGGATTCAGGAAACCTAGGGTCAACCTTCTGCTTACAGGGAACAGTGTTAGCGGAATTAGACCTGGTGTAACCGACCAAGGATTGTACTTTATTGCGAGGTTTCTAAAGGCCATGGGGTGTTTCGAATAAAGGAAGATAGTATCTCCCGTCAGAGGTTAGAGCATTCCCAAGAGCCGTTTAAAGGAAGAACAGGGTGGAGAGGGTTGATGAGGACATTGATGTCCTAGGAAGTTGAATCTTTGTTCAGGGTCCCACAGCTGGTAAGAGGCAACACTGAGCATTGAGGCCCAGAAGTTAGTCAGCCAGCCTGAGGTCACCTGGCTCCAAGGCCAGGCAGGAGTACATACAGTGAGCCCCTCAAATCCCACCATGGACGCATTCCTTTAGGGCCTGCCTCTTCACTCATGTTCTCACGGTTAGAGAAGTGCCTATGGAACCTGCACAGGGAAGTAGAGGGTGTGCCATTGCCTCACCAGCCCTGCTTTCACCTCTATGTTCCCTGGAATTGTGGTGTCCTGAGATGCTTGATGCCATTTTTCCCACTCCTTGAGTCTGGGGATGCAGAAAAACTCCATGCCCAGTGTCCTGAGTCCATGCTACAATTATATGGAGGTGTTCCCATTTCTGGCAACCATTGTAAACAGGTGTGTATGGTTAACCCAAGACATGGTACCAGGATGTGCAAATGCTTAGAGGTAAAATAGAGCTCAGGAATATTCAGGAACCACAGGTATCCTCTCTTTACAGGTAGGAATAAATAGTAGGTGGTTTGGAGTCAGGAGGGGAACAACTGCCTGAGATGTCAGGTGTGTGTTCTAGAGATTTGGCTCATGGTAGGGAGGTGATGTGACCAAGGCCTTAACAGGCTTCATTTGGGTTTAGAGTGGAAAACAGACTGTGGGCTTGAGAGAGGAAGAAGGAGCATCATTGTGGAGGCTACTATCATAGTCCAGGTGAGGGTTAATGGAGCAGGGGCGTGCCTTAGGAAATGTGGTTGTATTCTGGCTGCATGTTTTTAAAGGGGACAGCTAGATTTCTAACATGGGTGGTGAGGGAGTGAGACGCAGGGATCAGTGATGACCCCTGGCTTTGCAGCTGTAGGGTTGGAAGATGCGTCAGTTGAGATGAGCAAGTTGGTAGTAGGTGTAATATTCACTGGGTTTAGCAGGAGATTTTTTTGGACCATGTTAAGAGTCTGAGATATTTCAGACACCACTGAATAAAGGCATCAAATGAACATCTAACATACAGGTTTGGAATTCTTGGGAGTGATTCAGGTTAGAGACATCCAAAATGTAACTAGAGTGTGGACCAAGGTGAATGACCTGTGGCTCACATTAGGAGAGGCAAGCTCCGGGTTGTGGTGGCAAAGCTTTTAGGGGGAGAGGTGTGGAGGGTGGGGGCAGAGGATTGGGTCTTATGCTTGTGTACCTGGGTGATGGTGTCAGCCTTCATAAATGTAGGTAAATGGCCATGAAGCTTTGGTGTATGAGACAAGAAAGTCTGGCAGGTGGCCAGGGCTTCCAAGAGAAGAGTGGACATGAGATGGTTGTAGAAGCAAGGGGTAATACATGCATATGACACTCAGGCCAGATCTGGTGCTTATTCACCACTATATAGGCTCACCAAGATTTGTGAGGACTTTGGTAGGGCCTGGGGTGTTTCATTCAACCTGGGTTATATGGCCATGAGCCAATAAGGTCTTGTGTGAGAATCACTAGGCTTCGGGAGGGTGAGTAATGGGGCTGGAGTATGAATGAATGTAAGGGAGCAGAGAAATGTTGTCATTGCCGAGGGACCGGAAGGGCAGCACAGAAGTAGCATGGGACTATGGGTATCTGAGATCCACACGTGGTTCTATTCCTTAAATTTGAGGCAAGGATCAGAGTCAGGCAGTAAGGCATTTATAGATGATTTCTGATGCTGCCATTGGGAATTGTGGGAGGTCTGTGGTCATATTGGGTCCTGTTTGACTTTACCAGTTGTACTGTGGATGCTGTCTGCCGAGTTGTGGTGTAAGGCCTAAACCCAATATGATGTGCTTGCTTCGTGCTTGGTGAAACCTGGGTGCCCTCAAATGGCCTGAGTGCAAGTTCCTCTCCCCACAGTGTTCCTTCAGATAACGTCTCCTAGCCTAACAACCATTTTTACAAAGCAAACCAGGAGCTTCTTTGTATTAGGTATCAGTTCCCTACCAGCCCTCAGAATTGTTCAGATAAGACAATCACATCCTCCTTGGAACATCCCAACCCCTTCATCCTAGAAAGGTTCCATCCCACAGCCCCTGTGTGTGTTGTTTTTGCTCATGTACGCCTTTGTGGTGAGTGGTGTCCTATTCTCAGAGGTGTGAATTTATGTGATTAAGAAACTGCTGTCAGTCTCATTGGTCCAGTCTCAGGTGTCATGTGTTAGGCCACCATCACAGCCCTGTGGTGGGGTTAGGAGGAACTGATTTAAATACAAGTAACATGGGGAGGGGAGGGAGATGGCTGTGGTGTGGGAGAGTGAGGTGTTTGTGGCCATGGTCATGTGTGGCTGTGGGATACTGAGACTGAGGGATGTACAGTTTAAGGAGTGATGTGTGCTTGAAGAGGGAACATGTATGATGGTTCCAGGGCACTGCATTGATAATTTCAGGACGATGGCCACACCAGGGGAATTGCTTGTCAGGAGGGGGTGGATCCCTTTATGCCAGGCCTATAGCTGAGCTATATGTTCATCCACCTGCCTCTTCTTCCTGGTTGTTGTACCTAGTGATCAGTGGGCCCGTGGAGAGACAACCACACCATGGTGTCAGGGCCTGATTGATCCTCTGAGTTGGGAAGCTTGGGTGATGGATAGTCATAGGGTAGATGTGTGGGGAAATAGATTGTGACTTCTCAGAAGTGGACTGTTTGTGGTTTTATCTGTCACCATCATGGCAGGTCAGTGTGAACTTTGAAGATGTAGCTGTGACTTTTTCCTGGGAGGAATGGGGTCTCCTTGATGAGGTTCAAAGATACCTGTACCGTGATGTGATGCTGGAGGACTTGGCACTTATAACCTCCCTGGGTAAGAACCTCAAACCTTTCCCCATGTCCTGAACTAGTCTCTGCCCTTTCCTTTTCCCCAGAGACAAGTCTGTCCTTTTCATGTCAGGACCATGGTCACTGCTTTTTTTCCCCAGTTCCCTAAGTTGTTGCTGTGGTTGGTTGGGCTGAGATGTTTGCACTGACATCTGTTCTCCTTGAATAGGCCCCATATCTGCTTCTCTACAGCCTTCCCTGGAAGGATCCAGTGTCAGGAATCTTCCAATCAGCCTAATGTATCCCACCATACTTGCCCTCTTCCTTCTGGGTGATGTTGTCCAGATGCATGTCATCCTTGCACCTCAGATTCTACTTCCTTCTTTTCACTGACATTTCCTCATGACTGCCTGTGCTGGGAATTAATTCTCTGATGTAGACCATGGACTTTTTACAAGACCGCTTTCCAAAGTTCTCTTAATAGTATTTAGATGTTTTTCTCTGGCCTATGATGTGATGAGTATGGGTCAGCTGCTCATAGGTGGTATCTTTCCCCTGTTATTTTCATCATCCAGGTCCCTTACACTTGTTCATTTTGGAAGTGGGGTGGAGAGCCCTTGTTTGTCCACAGGATGGATATGAATTCAGACTCAGCCAAATGGGCTCAAAGGGCTGCTGTACAGTAGCACTATGGGAGTGTATGATAGTCCTGTGTTCAAGTGATACCAGAAATTTGTTCTGTTTGACTAGTGTTTTGATGCTACTTCCAGTGGCCACACCTTACTTTTGCTTTTTCTGCCCCATTCTTAACAATGCTGACTTGTCAGTTCTGCACTGTGATTCTTCCACTTTTATTCCAGCCTGTGGCTAATCCTCACATCTTTAAACTCCCTGTATCACCCACTTTTCTCACTGCTTTATCTGTGCATTCTCTAACGTTGGCCCATATATTTTCTATAATCAAACATGTACCCATTCTTAAAATGCTCCTGACCAACAGCTGTTCTGTTGCAGTCCTGTTTTCTTGGGCCTGGAAATACCCATCTACATTGCAGTCATGTGTTAGCAGCAGACAAGGTCCTGCTGACAGTTGTTTGTACCTAATTTTTTAACAGTCGACTTTAATTTTTCACCCTGCCTCTCCTCCCTATGACACATCACATGGTTGTGTCTTTTCTCTCATGTGGTCTTCCCCCATCCTGTGGCCTTTATAGCCCAGTATTGCTAACAGCCATGTCATCAACTTGAACCCAACTCTGTGTTCTTGTAAATAATCACACAAACTCATTCATGTGTTTGTCAGACACACACTGGTGTGTGGGCTCCCCCCTCCCACTGAAATCAACATGTACTTCACCAACATTTCTTGCTTTTAGGTTGTTGCCATGAAGTGGAGAATGAGAAGGCTTCTTTTGAGCAGCATAATTCTGTTCAAAGAGTGTCACAGATCAGGAGTCCCAAGGCAAATCCATCCTTCAAAAAGGCCCACCCTTGTGAAATATGTGTCCAGATATTGAGAGACTTTTTGTACTTGAATGAATATCAAGGAACACATTCAAAGCATAAATTACATAGGTGTGAGACATGTGGGAAACAGTTGTATGTAAGCACCAGAAGCAGTGCATCGGAGAGAAACCCTTCAGGAGAGATGTGGACAGAGTCTCATTTGTGAAGAACTGTAAGTGCCATGTGTCAGGGAAGCCATTAGTCTTCAGGGTGGTTGGGAAGGACTTCTTGGCCAGTTCTCAGTTTCTCCAGCAATAGGCTACTCACACCTGGGAGAGGTCAAACAGCAGAACCGAGTGTGGGATGGGCTTTCAGAGGGGAAAAACTTATCATAACTGGGAAGAATGCACAAAAGCTTTCAGCCCCAAACACACACTTGTTCAGCACCAGAGACTCCTCACTAGAGAAAGATGTTTTATGTGTAATTGGTGTGAGAGAAGCTGTAACGTCAGTCAGCATCAGAAAGTTTACAATGGAGAAAGAACTTATGAACCTGGGGAACATGGGATATTATTTAACAGAAAGTCCAACCTCATTGAACACCAGAGAAGTAACACTAGAGATAGGCCTTATGAATGTACAGAATATGGGGAATCTTTTACTAAGTGCTCCAACCTCATTGAACACCAGAGAAGTAACACTAGAGATAGGCCTTATGAATGTACAGAATGTGGGAAATCATTTACTCAGTGCTCCAACCTCTTTACACACAAGAGAGTTCACATGAAACAAAAGCCATATGAATGTGATGAATATGCAAAATCGTTTAGCCAAAGCTCTACCCTCCTTCAACATCGGAGAATTCACACTAGGGAAAAGCCTTATGAGTGCAATGAATGTGGTAGAACTTTTACGCAAAACTCTGTGCTCCTTCAGCATCAGAGACTTCACACTGGATCAAGGCCTTATGAATGCACTGAATGTGGAAAATCCTTTGCTGTATACTCCAGACTCATTAAACATAGAAGAGTTCATACTGGAGAAAGGCCTTATAAATGCAGTGAATGTGGAAAAACATTTTGCCAAAACTCTTCATTCCTCCGACATCAGAGAGTTCATACTGGAGAAAGGCCTTGTAAATGCAGTGAATGTGGAAAAACATTTTGCCAAAGCTCTTCATTCCTCCGACATCAGAGAGTTCACACTGGAGAAAGGCCTTATGAGTGTGGGGAGTGTGGAAAATCATTTAGGCAAAAGCCCAACCTTATTCAAAATTGGAGAGTCCATACTAGAGAAAGACCTTATAAGTGTGGGAAATGTGGGAAATTACTTAGCAACAAGTCCCATCTTATTGAACACCAGAGAGTTCACACTGGTGAAAGGCCATATGAGTGTGGGGAATGTAGGAAATTCTTTAGCAAGAAATCCCACCTCATTATACATCAGAGAGTTCACACCAGGGAAAGGCCATATAAATGCAATGAATGCGGGAAATCATTTAACCAAAACTCTGCACTCCTTCAACATCAGAGAATTCACACTGGAGAAAGGCCTTAAGAGTGCAGCAAATGTGGGAAAACTTTTAATCAAAGCTCTTCGTCAACCAGAGACTTCACACTGGTTCAAGGCCTTATGAGTGCACTGAATGTGGGAAATCCTTTGCTAATAATTCAGCCTTCATTAAACACAGGAGAATTCACACTGGAGAAAGGCCTTATGAGTGCAGTGAGTATGGGAAAGCATTTGCCCAAAGTTCTTCAGTCCTTCGACATCAGAGAGTTCACTGGAGAAAACTCATAAAAGTAAAGAAAATTTGGGAAGTTGGTTAGCCCAAGCTCTGTTTTTCAGCATCAGAGAACTCACACTGGATCAAAGCCATATGAGTGCTGTGAATGTGGGAAATCCTTTGCTAAAAACTCCAGGTTCATTAAACACAGGAGTGTTCACACTGCAGAAAGTCCGTATGTTGTAGGAAATGTTGGAAATCCTTTACCTAAAGCTACAGTCTCATAGAACACCATAATGTTCACATTGGTTAATGGGTTTATGGATGTGATAAGTGTGGGAAACCTTTAGCCAAACTGTAGCCTCATTTCACACTGGAGAGTTCACAGCCTTCAGTCTTATTTCATTGGATACCACAAAGTTCACTTCAGAAAGAGTAGTTGTGCAGGGATGGATTGTTCAGTATAACACTGGGGAGATCCCTTATGAGGGTGCTATCTGCCAATACACCCAATAAACCACTTAAATTCCAGGTTTATGGGAGCTTCAGTGCATTTCTTAACCTGCCCAGGGCCCTTACCAGGTTTACATCATTGCCAGTTCCATAGCAAAAGCCATTTCACCACTACTATGTGGCAGGTGCTCATGATGTGCATCATTGAACCACCCCACAGAGTCCAGGGAAGGAGACCTTGATGTTGTTTGTGGGAGTCTTTATAATCCTGAGCACTCATTCTTTTCTAATTTGTTTGATGGGTTACCTCACTGATCTGACCAATTTTTGGCCTAGAGGTCTCTGCTGGTGACTTGCAACTGGGACTACTTTTTTCAGGGATGTTGTTGGTCTCACGTCACTGCTGTGATGGGATTTTGCTGTGCTTCATGTCTCCAGCCCAGGAATAGACTTCTTCCCATTGTACTGGTTGGTGTGAAAATGGAGGCCTTACTCTTTAATCTCCTTTAATCTTGGGATTCTGTACACTGTGGTGATTTGAAAACAACTGAGTTGTGACAACAGGGCTGGAGAGCTTTCTTGTGGGACCCCAAATTCTGTGCGCCTCGGAGGGAACAATATGATGTAGAGTATACTTCTCTCTAGTTTTGTCCTAGTTGGCATTGCTGCCCAAGGCCTCCAAGAAAAGACTGCATGGATGTGATCCTTATCTGTAACCTGGATGCGTTGGTATTTTGTTGGTTCAGAGGTCAGTCTGTAGAGGGGCTGTTGTGATAACCTTTGGTGCTTCCTGAAGCAAGAAGAAGTTGTCTTGTTCACAGGGAGTATTGCATTGTGTCCAGGTGGTAAGGGAAATCTGTTTCCCGGGTCTTGTGTTGGAGCCATGTACCCTCATGTCCAGAATTCCAGATAGTGGCAGCATAGGTTATATGATTGTATGGGCAGGGGAATCATTTGTTACAGGAACACTGGTTTTGTAGGGAGGGGAGGAGACTGCCAGAAGATTTTTGGAATGTGTCTGTTTTGAACAGACCTCCACAATGTTCCAGTCCCTATAGATATGAAGGATGAGGAGGTGCAGAAATTCTCATGGCCTCCAGAACTGTGTATTTTGTGTAGGGAGGCTGTTGTGAGAGGAAAAAATTATAAATGTTCTGTGGATTCCTGTAGCATGTGTGTGTGTTCACCTCAAATCTCTTGCTGTGTAGGAAAATGAGGATAGTGAAGATGAGTTGTGCCCTTTGTAACCCAGCTTGCATTCCCATTGATTTTGGTGGAAATTGCCTTGTTGCTTCTGATATTTGCCACCACTAAGGCAAGGTATCCCTCCCAAACATGAGGAAAGAGTTGGTGGAGTCAGTAAAGGTTTGCCAAACTAATTTTCCAGTATTGTAGGAAATCTAGCTTTCTGTTTTGAATCATATTTTCAGAGCTTTAGTAAGGTATAAGTGACATACAACAAACTGATTATATTTAAACTTAACATTTTGACAAGTTTTGACATTCATGTAAATCCATAAAAGCACCACCACAATCATAATAATGAGCCTCTCCATCATCCTCTGTTTTACTTCATGCCCTTTAATAATGTCTCCTTCTGTACTATGTCTGCTCTCCAGGCAAGCATTGGTTTACTTTCCATTATAATAGATTAGCTTCCATTTTAGAATTGTATATGATTCTACTTATAAAGTGTTTACACTTTTTTTCCTTTGAGTAGCCTCATGTGGCTTACTCATTTTGATAGTCATCAATGGTGCTTAAATGAGTAGTTGTGGTTTTTTTATATTGCTTAGAAGTATGACAGTTGTGGGTGTTTATTCTTTTGTCTTTTTATGCATATTTGAGTTCTTTCCAGTTTCTGATTGTTGCAAATAAACCTGCTAAGATATTTGAATCTAGTTCTTCGCATACATGTTTCACTTATCTTGTGTTAATTTGGCGGTGGGGGTGGGGTGGGGGTGGGGGCGGGTGCAATGCCTGAGTTACAGGGTAAGTGGGTAGCTAACTTTTTAAGAAATTGCAAATTGTGATCTTTTGTATTCCTGCTAGCAGTGTATGAGACATACAGTTTTTCCATATCCTTGCCAGTAGTGGGTATGGTTAGCCTTTGAAAATGTTAACCTTTTAAATAAGTCTGTAACTGTATCCCACTATGGTTTAGTTGCCTTTCCCTGATGTTGCATGATGTTGAGCATTTTTTCATTTGTTTACAGGCATACCTCAGAAATATGATGAGTTGGGTTTTAGACCACTGCAATAAAGCCAGTATCACAATAAAGCAAGTCACATGAAGTTTTTGGTTTTCTAGTGCATGTAAAAGTAATGTTTATGCTATACTGTAGTCTGTTAGGTGTGCAATAGCATTATGTCTAAAAAAAATACATGCCTTAATTAAAAAATATTGCTAAAAATGTTGACTATCATCTGAGCCTTTAGCTAGTTGTAAGGTTTTTGCAGTAGTAACATCAGAGATCACAGATCACCATAAGAAATATAATAATGATGATAATGTTTGCAGTATTGCACGAATTACCAAGATGTGACACACACATGAAGCAAGCAAATGCTGTTGGAAACATGGCACCAGTAGACTTGCTCAATATAGAGTTGCCAGAAACCTTCAATTAAAAACAAACAAACAAACATCTGCAAAGTGCAGTAAAGCAGAGTGCAATAAAAAAAAAGTATGCCTGTATTTGCCAGTTGTATGTTGTTTTTGGTAAAATATCTGTGCATATCTATTGCTTGTTTTTTAAAATGAATTTTGGGAGAATTTCCTGGTTGTCCAGTGGTTAGGACTCTGCACTTTCACTGCTGAGGGCCCAGGTTAGTTCTCTGGTCAGGGAACCAAGATCCCGCAATCTGCAGCCAAAAATAAATATATAAATAAAAAGAATTAAAAACAAAAAAAAGAATTTTGGAAGTTTCTCTCTCTCTCTCTCTCTCTCTCTCTCTCTCTCTCTCTCTCTCTCTTTTTTCTAAGGAGACAGTCTTTTCTAAGGAGACAGGCTTATTATTTATTTTTATTTTTTATTTTTTAATTTTTAAATTTTTTTGTGGTATGCAGGCCTCTCACTGCTGTGGCCTCTCCCATTGCGGAGCACAGGCTCTGGACGCGCAGGCTTAGCGGCCATGGCTCACGGGCCCAGCCGCTCCGCAGCATGTGGGATCCTCCCAGACTGGGGCACGAACCTGTGTCCCCTGCATTGGCAGGCGGACTCTCAACCACTGCGCCACCAGGGAAGCCCTTATTATTTATTTTTACTTGTTTGCACCCAGTCTTAGTTGCAGCAGGTGGGCTCCTTAGTTGCAGCATGTGGGCTTCTTAGTTGCAGCAGGTGGGCTCCTTTGTTGTGGCATGTGCACTCTTAGTTGCAGCATGCATGTGGGATCTAGTTCCCTGATCAGGTATCAAACCTGGGCTCCCCACATTGCGAGCATGTAATATTATTTACTGCGCCACCAGGGAAGTCCTAGCAGGTTCTCTTTTTTTCTAGCAATTAAGAAGATAGTGATACAAAAAAAACTTATGTTGGAACTTTATTCATTCTTCAGTAATGTGACTTCTTTGCTATAAAAATTATTTTTTTTGAATACAGGAGTATTTCATAAATATTTTGTGTACTGTACACAACGTAGTGGCCACATACAGCATCTACTTTTTAAGTTTAATTTTTAACATTCTTGATCACTTCTTAGGTCTAGATATTCAGCACTGTCAAGCCATGATTTGTAGCTCTGAATAAATAGGCTTTGAGTGTTCTCATGTGGTTGGCCTTTATTTCCACAGGTCTTACGACACATTCCACAAAATACGTGTAGTCAAAATTCTGTGTTATAAATTGATTTGAAATAGTTTTTGACTGTGATTACACAAGTATTTATTTCATACAGCATTTAGTTTGTTGTATTTCATTTTCTATTTTAGGTTATTGACATTTTAGCAACTAATGGATCCACTTAAGAAGATACCCTTAACTAACATCTTTCAAGGAGGCATTGTTATTCTAAATTGCATTTGGAAGCCTCATCACACCGTGTATAGAAAGTGGGCTATTGGTTAATCAGAATTTCCTCCCCTCCCCTCCCCTCCCCTTCTTTCCCCTCCTAGTAACACTTAGGGGGACTTGCTTCAGATAATTTATGAATAAGTTAAAACTTCCTCACTGGTCAATCTGCCTAAATATTGCCCCTTTTCTTTTTATATCCCACCACCTTTCCTTTCGTTTCTTTTCCTCTTCAGTATTCTCCTAAGCTGGTTCAAGTAGCTCAGTGTCCTTTTTGTTTGTTTGTTTGGCCAGGCAGCACCCTAACCAGGGATCAAACCCGAGCCCCCTGCAGTGGAAATGCAGAGTCCTAACCACTGGACTGCCAAGGAATTCCTGCTCAATGTCCCTTGAATTTGCAATTTCCACATGGAGGAAGCCCTCCTGCATGGACATTCAACTTGGTTGTGTTCTAATCTCTGGCATTGTCAAAGACTTCCTAAATCCCAGGTTGGAAAAGAAAGTTTATTAGAACATTCATTTCTGTGCACACACAGTCCAGGGATCAGTCACTTCTTTTGACTGAGTTGAGAAAAACAGGAATATTAGTTGAAAACTCTCTTAGACGTTTCCTGAAAAGGATTTGAAGATTAATGAAACTTTATAGAGTTTAAGGATTAAAAACAATACAACCGAAAAAAAAAAGTTTTGAAAAAGACACTGGAAAATGTAAGAAATTATACTAACCTAGTAAAGGAGAGAAATATTAGATTTCTAATGATTTTGATGTAGTCAGCTCTTTACATTGCTAAACACAATCTTGCTCAAAGCTGTTTTCTCAAGGA